GTTTTCTCCCATCCTCATACCCGGCTTTACCAAATTATGGGGCCAAAGTGACCCTCAGAGATGATCCCAGTTTTACACCAGGGTAGGACAAAAGTCAAATAATAACACGATGGTAACTGTTTATGACCTAAATGATCTAATTCTGATATTCTAGGTCTCTTTGGTGTACCTGCCATGTCAACAGCCTTGCAAATGGGCTGTTCGTGCTCATGGCTAACTTAAATATCTTTGATGCATTTTAACTCTATTCCTGTCCTCCAAAAAACAGCCGCTTATATTCTAATGCAAACTTTAAGACTGTTACTGGGTTTTCTACTCTACCTTCACCTAATTAAACCAAGATCCTTTTGCATTTTTTCATAAGGACTATTCGCAAGACTAATCATTTTTGTTTTTTCATTTATGTCACGTTTTACACTCTTTTGTCCCCGACTTTCTCTTGGATATTGCATGGCCTCTCTAGATACCTACTGTGATAGGTATCAAGACTAAAGTGATAGGTTAGGCCAATGATACTCAAAGTTTAGTCCCTGGACCAGCAGCATCAGCATCAACAGGGAATTTGTTAGAAATGTTAGTTGTGGGGTACCACTCCAAACCTATTGAATGAGAAGCTTTGGGAATGGGGCCCCACAATCTGGTTTAGCAAGCCTCCCAGGGAACTGTGATGCATGTTAAAATTTGAGAATTACTTTTTAGCACACAATCTTTCCTCTCCCTTTGTGAACAAAATACTTTTCAGCCCCATTTGTGTTGAGTATGGTCACATAATTTACATTGGCCAATTGAATGTCAGTGAATGTGGTGCAATCCTTAAATGTGCTTATGTGGCTTGAGTTGGCTCTTGAGCTACAGTGATTCCACACAAGAGGAACATGCACCTGGTCCAAGACAGTGTGGAGTTACATGGAACACAACAGCTCAGTTTGTTTCAAAGAAAAGTAAAAGCAGAAATAAACTCTTGAGATGTCTATCTCTCTTACAGTCTAGACTCCACGATGGGTGGATAGTATAGGACTCATTAGAAAGCAAATATTTGCTCAGTCAATGAACTGGATGAGGACAGTCTATCATGCAAAATGCTAAAAATAAGTAAATAAATTAATGCATCAAAAGAACTGATTACATAGTTCCTTATGAGTAAAATAAATCCCCAATCATAGCAGATTAAGTGAATAAAGCAGATTAATAATTTTCTCACACACACACACAAAATTTATTAAGTAAATAAATCTCTCATGATGTCTGGAGGGAGACTGATGCTGTCATTAGTTCTGCAGGTTGATAATCAGGGTCAGCATCTCTATGGAGAAGGGGTTGGTACTGCTCGAGTTGGTCCCATTCTAGGTATTTTAAGTAGAGGGTATTTAATAAAGGGAATTGGCTATGTAAACACTGGAAGAGCAGAGAACCAAGTGAAGATAGTGAGACCTTCCAGATATTAACGGCAGCAGAAAAGGCCAGGTGGATAAAAGGAATAACTGAGGTGTATTATATATAGATTCATTGAGGTCTCCAGCAGACTTCCACTCAGATCCTACATTGTTCTCCTGCTCACAAGTGTTCCCTGTGTTAGACTGCTTCACTTCCCCCTAGTCCTGACAGCTCTTCCTAGATTACCCCTTAGTAAATAATTTGCTTTCACATTCTTGTCTCAGCTTCTGCTTCTGGGAGAACTCATGAAGACCCACCAACTGACAGTTTCAGGGACAAGTTGCTGAAAATCATCCATTGTGGAAGCAGAACTCATGTATTTTATAGAAATTTTTTAAAAAACATTCATGGATTGATCCACTTCTTCACTTTAGGAACCAACTCTTTGTCATTTTCCTTTCCTCTTCCCCCTCCTTGCTATTAAAAAGACATGGTGAGCTTGCAAATGCAGATACATATAAAATGATCTGAAAATATATATGTGTGTGTGTGTGTGTGTGTGTGTGTGTGTGTGTGTGTGATGACCTAAATTTGTTTCTCCTCCTGAGCAGGATCACAATTTTACGTTCTTTACATTCTTGCTTCAACATTTGTGAAGGAAGAGCTTGCAAGAATTTCTCTGATATGCATTGTCCTTAAGAATTACTTATATACACACATCCCATCTTGTAACTCTCACTAAACAGACCATCAGCAGCAATACAACCTCTTCCCTGTCTCTTATTTCTGGCATCTTCTTCTCCCTATTATGCTGTCTGGATTAGAGATGTTTCATCTGTTTATCACCTACTGTTTACCTCATCATGATAACAATGCGTCATATTTGCTCACTTGATAATGAGCATATATAGTACTTAAATTTATATATATAAATACATAGTACTTATATTATTTCATATATAGTACTTATATTATTTAATTTTGATTTTGATTTTCAAAATAGGTTTTAGGGTAAATAGATTTACCATTTTATGGATAGAGAAACTGAGTCTCAGTTGAGCATTAAATGACAAGCACAAAGTGATTTAGCCATTTGGGACAGAGCCTGGACTGGAGCCCGAGTGTCCTGTTTCCAACCTCAGAGCAATTTCCGCATTTCCACATAGAACATCTCATAGTTAGCAGGTGGCATTTAAGTAGAATGTCAAGAAGGGAAAGGTCTGGGGTTGGATACCTGGATTCAAATCCTACCTCTAACCTCAATTTCTCTGTATTAAGTAACTTTGTTACTCTCAGTTGCACTTTCTCTTATTAAAATGGGATCATAAGACTGGGTGCGGTGACTCATGCCTATAATCCTAGCACTTAGGAAGGCTGAGGTGAGAAGGTTGCTTGAGGCCAGGAGTTCGAGGTTGCTGTGAGATGTGATTGTGTCACTGCTTTCTAGCCTGGGTGACAGAGTGAGACCCTGTCTCAAAAAAATAAGATAAAATAAATAAAATTAGACCATAGTAGTACTTTTCTTATAAGGTTAATGTGAGGACTTAATGGGATACAATATGCAAAATACTTACTAAAATCATAGCCAATCATATACCTGAATCAAAGACCCTCTTTAACAAAATATGCCTTACACTGTGAAGGGTGTATATGCGTATGTGCTCGTGTGTTTGTAAGAAGGATGATTACAGGCTATCCAATAAAGATATTTTCTACTTAAAAAAGTTGAAACCTTCTGTTATTCTTTACCTTAAATCTGAGCAATTCCAATTATTACACTAATAAGTTTCTTACCAGTAAGCTGACTGCTTCAATAGAACTGATTTTGGTTTAAAGATATTGGCTAGAAAAAGTAAAAAACAAAAACAAAAAACAAAAAACTGAGCAATTTTTTAAAAAGAAGTTTAAAAAATTGTGGTAGATTACCTGTGACATAAAATTCACCATCTTAGCCATTTTTAAGTGTACAGTTCAGGAGTGTTGATTACATTCATCTTGCTGTACGACTATCACCACCATCCATCTTCAGAACTTCCTCATGTTGCAAAACTGAAACTTTATTCCCAATAAATAATAGCCCCACATTCTTCCCTCCACCAGCCCCCGCCAGTCATAGTTCTACTTTTATCTCCATGAATTTGGCTATTCTAGGTACTTCATATAAATGGAATTATATAATATTTATACGTTTGTGACTGACTTATTTCACTAGTGTAATATCCTTAAGGTTCTTTCATGTTGTAGCACCTGTCAAAATTTCCCTCCTTTTAAGAGTTGAATGGTATTTCATTCCACCATATACACTATATTTTGTTTATCCATTCATCCGTTGGTGGATACTTGGGATGCTTCTGCCTTTGGCAGTTCTGAATAATGCTGCTCTGAACATGGCTGTATAAGGAATTGTACAATTCTTACTCAAAGCAGCCTTCTTTGAGAAGTGGAGAGAGAAGAAAAGTTTATGAAGAAAATAGTTTAGTGCAGTTACGCTACATTGGAATTAATTGAGTCTGGTTAGCTTATGAAGACATAAACAGAGATACCAAATTGTTGCCTTAGGAGAGGTCAGACTTGAAAACAGAAAACTGAAAATTATCAACAAAGAGAAAATTTCTAAAATCTTAAAGGAAATGATTTTCATTATGGTGGAGATGGGATGTAACACGATCACTGAGGTGAGGAGGGTGTATTGAATTTTCAAGACTCATCCGTAAGACAAAGTACAGAAATTTAAGCTCAACAGAGGTAAGTCAGAGAGAGAAAGCACATGGCTTGAAGAAAATTTCAAGAACCGATATTTTATGAAGATAGTCTATAAAAGAGCTGAATTGGTAGAATACAAAGGGCCATTCAAAAAAAGGATATAATGCAGTTTCCAGTGATGGAATGAAAGTACAGCTATTTGAAAACTGAGGCCAGAGGAAATCTGCAGTAGGAGAGATGGAGAAATCATTCAGAAGGTATTTATTTACTTTTTAAACAAACAAGGTTGGGCACTCTTGTTATATTTTCCAAAGATGGTCACAACAATATCTCCAGTAACCCATGTGCTTCTAAAATCCTGCCACACTAACATCAGGAACTAAAGTCGAATTCCCCCGTCTTTGAATCTAAGTAGGCTTGTGACTCACTTGTAACTTGAGATTGCAGTGAAAATTATGGTGTGTGACTTCCAAGGACAGGTCACTAAAGGCTTCATAGCATCTACTTTGCTGCTAAAATACTTGGTCTCAAAGCCTTCAGCAGTCATGTAGATAGTCCTCTTGCCGTCAGGTGGCCATGCTGTAAGGAAGCTCAACTAGTCACATGAAGAGGGACCACACTGAAAGACCTGGAGACTATGCAACAGAGAAGATGTTCAGAAAATCACTGTTATATCTGTAGCAGTTGCATTAGAAACCCTGAGGCAGAACCACTGAGACTATGGGTCAAAAATTAGGCCTTTTCTAGTTCCTAACCCATAGGAATTGTTCAAGACAATAAGACGATTGCTGTTGTTAAAACTACTACATTATGGTATTTGTCACACAGCCTTGGGTAACCAGAGCCCTATTTATGGGCCAGGCACTGTTTTAGGTACTGAAGTACAGTGCTTTGAAAACAGAACTGTCCTTGTTTTTATAACGTTTACAGACCGGTTGGAAAATGAGAATATTTGGACAAACATTAGCCAAAGAGACAGGATGGCATGATCAAGAATAACAACAGAGAAAAATACCAATGACCAGGTGTAGCTGCAACTTTCCTGACATTTGAGGGTGAATGATACAGGGAAATACCTTATATGCAAGATGAGCACTGTTCCTTTCCCACTTCCTTGCTGCTGGACAGGAAAGGAATTGGGGAATGGAAAATACCAGGCAGCAGTAAGAGGGAAAGAAGGAAACTTTAATGGCTCCCTGGGGACAAGTGTAACCTGAATGATGCAGAGGTATTTTTCACCAGTTTCTAGAGATGAGCTAAATGCTGTTACAATAATCCCCCTTTTGGGGGCACTCAGGGGTCACGCTTCCTCCCAGGTACTTATTGTTAAGCAGTGGGCAGAACCATCCCTGGCTGTGGGTGCTTTGTGGCCAGAACAAAGGGCAAAACAAGTGCTTAACACCCCGCCGCCCCTCCCGGGCATAATTTATAGCATTTTAATTCTCCTACTTGTCTCCGCTTAAGAATTTCTTATAGCATTATTTAATGATGTGAATTCAATGGGCAATTTAAAAACCTACTTAATTTACTATTTCTTTCCTCAGTGATGCAGCGAGAAGTGGTGCACACTGTACTGCAGAGGTAGCAGCCTGAGTGTGAAGCAGAGAAAAATCATCCTACACCACTTAATACTTAAGCAGGTTCCAACTTTCTCTCCCAGGACCCCAATAGCCATGACAGAATGCTAGGGAGTTTCACAGATCAAAGGAAGAGTGAATCACGTTAAAAGAACGGCATCAGACACATCTTATGACTACTCTTGGAATGCCCCCCACGTCTTTAGATGTCCTACAATATGAAGGGAATGAGTTTTACAGGGCAAATGCAATACACACAAAGGAGCAAGGGATGTAATCTTAAATTGAGTCAGTAGTCTGGAAAGAAAGACATGAAGAATATGCCCAGTAGCATTGGAGAAACTTGTTACTGTAATAAGCTCAGGAATCACATGGACAGATCTCTGACATTAGTGAATATATATTAGTAAATTAAGATGGCTATGAATATTCACGATTCTTCTGAATGGATCAACCACAATGACTGACAATAGGCAAAGGATAGAGGGGATGGAAATGAGGGATCGAACAAGCAGGTACCACGAGTCCTATGCTGGCAGATAGTCTGATTCACTCTTACCAACTCTGCTCCCAAGACGTTTCTCGATCAGAGCAGTGGCAAAGCTGATAGGTAGCAAGAGGGAGTCTCACCCACAGGTTAAATATTCCACTCTTCCCAGGCAAGCTAGAGCAGCTCATCATGTCTTATGGCAAATCAATTTCAGAGCATTTGTTCTTGGCATCTGGCAAACCAGTAGGTCACAGTTTCAAATCCAGGATCATAATAACCTCACCTGGGAGAGACTTCAGATGACCTCTTCACAGTCTCATACAAAATGAAGCTTCAGTCTCAGCTCAGTTCTTAATAGAGAAATGTCTGCATCACTCTACTGATGCCAGCAGTTAACAGAAGGAAAAGCTACCAGATTTCCCCTCCTCATCTTGATATATGGAGCTGGTGAGAATGTGTCTGGTCATACGGATGGAAAGCTGCAGACATCACAATCATCAACAGAGCCCTTTCACAAGCATAAAATTCAAACTGGAGAGAGACTGGAGAGAGAGAGAGGCTCAAATTAGTATCCAAACATGCCTGTTTCCTAATGCTCATTCAGACAGAGGTTCAATGGCTGGAAATTATTGAAATGAGGCAGATGTCAAGGGGATGCTGCAGATAGAGCTACTTCCCAGCACCAGTGATTGTGTGCCTACAGTCGCAGGATCCTGGTTCCACCTCCACATTGGGAAGAGTCCTTAAGTACCTGCTGGTGTAACTTTCCTCTCTGTTGTCGAGTTGAACAAACTTAGGGAGTTTTAAGCTTTGGGACTTGCTGAGGCTAAATTGAAGCAGCATTTTCCCCATCATTAGATTCAGGAGAGTCTCCTGTTCTTCTCCCCCAGATCTCAACAGGGATGTACTTTCAGAATTAATTCACTTTCTCACTCCTGTCATCTCCTCACTCTGCTCCTCCATTTACCCTGATGGGGTGCCATCCACATTGCGCTAGAAGGGAAGCCATCTTGAAATATTCAGTTTCCTTCCTTCCTCTTTCTTTCTTTCTTTCTTTCTTTCTTTCTTTCTTTCTTTCTTTCTTTCTTTCTTTCATCTTGAAATATTCAGTTTCCTTCCTTCCTTTCTTTCTTTCTTTCTTTCTTTCTTTCTTTCTCTTTCTTTCTTTCTTTTCTTTCTTTCTTTCTTTCTTTCTTTCTTTCTTTCTCTTTCTTCTTCTTTCTTCTTTCTTTCTTTCTTTCTGTTTCTTTCTTTCTCTGTCTCTCTTGGATCTTTCTTTCTTCTCTTTCTTTTTCTTTCTTTCTCTCCCTTCCTTCCTCCTCCCTCCTCCCTGCTTTCTCCTTGCCTCTGTTTCCTTCCTTCCTTCCTTCCCTCCCTCCCTCCCTTCCTTCCCTTCTTCCTTTTCCCTCTCTCACCTCCTTCCTTCCTTCCTTCCTTCCTTCCTTCCTTCCTTCCTTCCTTCCTTCCCTCCCTCCCTCCCTCCCTCCCTCCTTTCTTTTCTTTCTTCTTCTTTCTTTCTTTCTTTCTTTCTTTCTTTCTTTCTTTCTTTCTTTCTTTCTTTCTTTCTTTCAGAGTACCATGAGGGTTGTTTTTCATTTTGTCAAACCTACAAATGTAAACCATCGAATAACTAAGGAAATATTCAGGCTTACGTTAGTTTTTTTGTTACTATTATTCCATTTGAAAGGCCCAAGGCCTGGTTCAGTGACTCATGCCCCCTAATTTCAGCAATTTGAGAGGCCAAGGTGGGAGGATCTCTGGGAGTCAGTGGTTTGAGACCAGCCTGGGAGGGCGTGAGACCCTCTCTCTCTCTCTTAAAAAAAGGTTTCCCAAAGCCAGGCATTCTTGGTTCTGAAAGAGATGGGAAGTCAGGGAAGGAGGTATGTACATGCTTTTTAAAACATCTGTAACCACAAAGATACAAAGATGCATTACAATGCCCACAAAGATGCATTGCAATGTTTTGGTGTTTTTTTTTTTTTTTTTTTTTTTTTTTTTGTATAAATTTAAGGGGTACAAAAACAATTTTGTTACAGGAGTATATTGTATGGTGATGAAATCTGAGCTTTTAGTGTATTCATCACCCAAATACTGTATATTATACACAATAAGTCATTCCTCATTGTCTGCCCCCTGTACTCCCTCTTTCCTGGTCTCCCATGTCTATCATTCTACTCTCTGCACCATAGTCCCTGGGTACCCACGTTGGTGAAGGAGCTCAGAAATATCTTCTATTTTGGGTGGGTTGGGGAAACCATCCAGAGGTGATACACTGAGTTAAATAATAAAACTAGGTTTTTCTTGAGTGGAAAATGTCTTTATATGTAGCCAGGATGTATGACTAGACACTGCTAAAAGTTGATGAAGGAACTCTTTGTGTGCTAAAATGCTGCTGAGAAACCCCAGGCATTTCCATATCTCAATGCTGCGCTCTAAGCAAGGGCCGTGTGGCACCTAGCGGGAGGCAGGCTGTCACTCACCTGCTTCGCCAGCATCCAGAGTCCGAAGAGGAGGACTGGTCGGGTCATCCGAAAGGTCTTCCTTCCAAAGAACGCAGGCTCCTCACAAACACCACCCAAATCACTGATGTGGAGAAAGTGTACTTATTGTTTTATGTTAAACATTGAAATTAAGTTCAATGTTGAAAATATGAAAGAGAAAAAAATGTGTGCAATTCAGCATCTGACTTTACTTCCCTTTAGAGCAAGATCATAAAATAAAATAATTTTTTTAAAAAAGCACTTTCTTAGGCCAGGCGCGGTGGCTCAAGCCTGTAATCCCAGCACTTTGGGAGGCCGAGACGGGCGGATCACGAGGTCAGGAGATCGAGATCATCCTGGCTAACACGGTGAAACCCCGTCTCTACTAAAAATACAAAAAACTAGCTGAGCGAGGTGGCGGGCGTCTGTAGTCCCAGCTACTCAGGAGGCTGAGGCAGGAGAATGGCGTGAACCTGGGAGGTGGAGCTTGCAGTGAGCTGAGATCCAGCCACTGCACTCCAACCTGGGTGACAGAGCGAGACTCCATCCCCCCCGCCAAAAAAAAAGCACTTTCTTAAAACTTACATTGCCTTCACTCCATAGAAGAATATGACTTACAATACACAGGTTTTCTTCCCTCCTCTTCCACCATACCACCAAAGAAAAAGGGGGGAAAATAATCTGTCAGATATTATTTTACATATGCTTCAAGAGTTCAGATATTCCTAAATGTAAAACTTTTCAGTGCAGTATAAAACATCTTCAAGTAAAAGATATAAATATGCTTTTTGATTTCACAAAAGAAACACTTCATAATTTACAGTATCCATTCTTGAGGAAACTTTTCTTTCTTTCTTTCTTTCTTTCTTTCTTTCTTTCTTTCTTTCTTTTAATCCGGGTCGACATTACCTACGCCTGTCCAGACATCCTTAACGCAAACCTCCGTTGCCATTCAACCCCTTCCTCCACCAACACTTCATAATTTACAGTATCCATTCTGAGGAACTTTCTTTCTTTCTTTCTTTCTTTCTTTCTTTCTTTCTTTCTTTCTTTCTTTCTTTCTTTCTTTCTTTCTTCAGTACTCACGAATTATTGCTTTCTTCTACATGGTTAAATATTCACTGTCTGTCTATCTGTCTGGTTCATATTTTTTCTGTTTATTTTTAGCACTCTCAGAAGTAAAGAATATATTTGAAACTCAAAGCACAAGGAATTTTATGATACATTGTGGTAAACTGGCAAAACTCAGATTGATATGTTAAACATCTTCTACAAACCAATGCAAGAAGTTGGGTTGGTTACGTCCCAGTGATGTCTAAGGCTCCATGGATAATCTACCAGAATCGCATCACTTAAAAATAATTATATCAATTAAACTTCCTTGAGGGAAATATGCTTAGAATTTTTAAATCCTATAATCTGTTAAGATTTAAGTATGTGAAGTGTTTTTATCACCACTAAGCTAAATTACCTATATATTCAAAATTGTATTCAATTGCAAATAATCCCTAAACAATGGTTAGAAAGACAATACAGTATTTCTAGAAGCTTGTCTAGACATTATATAAAAATGCTTGAATTGTAAACTTCATAGGTAACTTACACACTATATATCATCATTATAAATTTATATGCTTCATTAATTCTTCTCAGATTTGGTTGTATACATTTCATGTATAGAAAAACCAAAATAGGGACAAAGACTCTCAGAAAAAGCTTAGTTATGAAACAGATTGGAATTTGGGTTTTAGTCATCAAAGATGTGATAAACAGCACTGGGTATTAATGCAGAAAACAGACTGAGCTTTTTAATGGGACATCAAATAAGACTTTATTAGCATCTATTAGGTTCAACCCAAAGCTGAGGAAATAGCATTAATGAGCATCATATATCAGTCTGTCTGTTATTAGATAACAGTATCCCTTAAAACTAGCAAGCCATATAGTACTTTATACTTTTTTACCTTTATCTTTAGAATTAGCTGACATTCTATTGTGTTACACTGGCCTTACTATTAGTAATAGTGAACCAATTTATAAACCCATTAGTGACACTTTTTCCAGAAGATAAAAACAGTCAAAATTATCTGGCAGCAATTAATCTTAATGGCTGTATGCAGTAAACAGCAATGGGCTAATTCCAGCTCTGTCAGCCCCATCAAACAATCCCGCATTAGGCAGCTTTTCAGTGATCCATTAAGCATATTCAGAACAACAACAAATTCAATGCTGAAGGCATATGCACTAAACATTACAACAGTGATCTTCTGAAGCCATCATTATCTCTTAAATAGTACTTCCCCCATGTATTATCATTATGCTGTACATTAGAAATACTTTGATTAAACTCCCTTAATTCATAACAGACAGCTGCAGACCATTTATGCAGTTAATCTCAACACAACAGCTATTGAGGAAATATAACAAATGAAGGCTGTAAACTGGAAGTCATTACTATGAAAGATACTGGTTTTCTAGCCCTCTTAGAGCAGAGTGCATCATAAGGGTGGGCTTTGGGCCTACCATAATGGGGATGAAACCGTTAACGACCTTCCACTTTCCTGTCACATCTGTCCCTGGGGTTGTTGTGCTCTAGGCTGGGCATGTGACCAGTTTAGGCTGAGCCATGTGTCCCACACATTGACCAATGTAAGGGCTCCAGGAGAACCCAAACTATGGTTAACTTTTATTTTCTGGTTTTGGTATTAAGAAGTCAAGGTTATGATGGAATAGGAATAATCTCATTGATTTCACTGAATCATTACAGTAAAGTGCTGAAAAACTATTCTGATTGTACACTAATGGTATCATCATTAGCAGTAGTTTTACATTTCTAAAAAGTAGTGTCTTTTAAAGTTTAATTCATAATACTTGAGTTTACAAACGTAAAAAAAATTTCTACTGAATTTTTCTGTAAACTTTCTTTCCTATGTGATATCTTCACTTGTCAATTCAGAAAAGTTATACATGCCAAAAAAAAAACCTCCTAAATTCAAAGAGCCACACCCCAATTTCATGTTTTGCGGAATAAAATATGCACTGGCTTAATTTGATGAACAAGAAAACTGTGTCGATTTCTCCACACTACATCTTCACAGAATCTTTCCTTTTTGCAGGTAGAGAGACCATAAACATGGGCATGAATGAGCTCTATGTGCCTGGCATTTTTTTTTTCTTTATATAGGGTTTATTTCAAAGTCCTAAACCACAGACACCGTGTCTACCTTTTGATGAAATGGTCAGGTAATTAGAACATAAATTTAGAGTTCCCTTGCCAACTCCGACAGTACTTTCAGCTTTTGGGGTTAGCATAAATGAATTAAATATTGATTCAAAATATAAAGTACTATCATTATAAAGCAATAAGGGTTTAGCTTTCAGAGGAAAAGACCAATTCCCATAGCAGTTTACGTTGAATGTCTGAGGAGATTTCCACAATCGGGCTAGATTGACCCATCCCTCCAAGGTGCCCATGAACACAAGCATATTAACGTTTGCTGTTCAGTCCCCTTAGTCACCTTTGGTGCTGTAGAGATCCCTCCCTACTGTCCCCCACCCGCCCTCCCACTTCTCGAACATAGTGCTTTGAAAAATGGTAGCTCTGGGGAGCTTTTCTTATTTTTTTTCCCCGTACATTTGTCTGAAAGGCATAGGTTTTGTGACTGCTGTATGTATCCCTTGTTTCTCAGAACTTGCATTTACAACAAAGCTCCGGCGAATCCCTTCTGGACACCTGGGCATGCTGATACTGATTTCTGGTCCATAGTGCATTTTAAACCAATCAGGATTTTCACCTATTTTGAAAGACCTTCCCAATCTGAGCCTAACCTTCCTGCCATGTGAGTTATAAAGCACTACTACTAGTTGTTGAGGCACAAAGAAGTCTGAGAAATAATGTCGCTCCTCAGAAATTCACAACGCATGTCAAGGTAGTAAAACCTGTGAGAAGTTCTAGAGAAAGGAAACCTGTTTAACTGTGATTTTCAGCGTGCCCAAATCTACTTGGCTGAGTTTTGTTTTTTTTTTAATTTTTTCTTTTTAATAGAACAACCGTTAATATCTTGTCGGGCACTAATCTTTTAAAGAATATATTTTGAGACATGTTTTTCTTAATTCCTGCTTGTGGTATTTATGCCTCAAAATTGATCTGTGGCAGGAAAGAACAAATTTGCAAATTAATTAATTGTGCTTTCTTCTGATTTTTGTTTGTTAGCTTTAATTTCGCTTACAGATACTCCACTGTTGAAAGTGGCCATCAGCAAATGAAATTAGGTTTAGAATTCACCAGCTGGTTTGACTTCTATTTTTGCCATTTATTCCAATAATCTAAATTCAGTAAACAGTGTCCCTATAGACATTTTTCTGATTGAGACATAAGGTTTTCTTCAACTAATGATTAGATTTTTGTAACTGATGTTAAACATGTGGATAATTGATGAATGTGCTCATTTTTCCTGCTGTGGAACATTATCTTTAGCTACAACACAACGATATTTAGAGTTCTATCACATTTAGAGTTCTATCTAGATATATTTACATCTATCTATATCTGTTCTCTATTCAGGAAACTCCCAATTATGAGTAAGTAACTTCTATATGCTCATTTGAAGTTTGTTGCTTGGGATCTCAGATCACATTTTTCCAAAGGAATTTATTACAACTTGTCATTACGGTCTAGATTTAACCTATAAAAGTCTGTTTAATGCACAGCAACTGCATTGCTGAAATGCTAGGTACACTGAGAAAATAAGCCAAATGTCAGCATGGTTGCCATGCTGATAAGTTAAACCAAGTAGAAAAATAATAAGGTGTTAAAATTGACTAACAGATCCTTTAAAAAGTTGGGTCTGAAATGCTGATGCTTGTAGAAACATAGGTTTAATTTTAAAAGATGCAGCACAGACCAAGACTTGTGTGTACGTGTGCGCATGTGTGTCTATGTGTAGCTTTGGCAATATTTCCAGGGACCCTTCCAAACTCATGTCGTCCTTACCATAGCCTTCCATGATACAGACGCATCACAGCAGGTCTCGTTCCAGGAGAAAGGGGTGAGACCCCTCTGTGGCATATACGTGAAACGAAGATAGAGAATAGGAAAAGATTGTTCTCTACAAAATCTAGGCAGGAGTTGGCAGTATGAAGGAGAGGAGAAAGTCATTCTAAGTATGTATGTGTGTGTGAGAGAGAGAGAGAGAGTGAGCAAGAACAGGGAGGAGGGGAAGAGAGAGAAAGGGGCAGGAAAAGAGCAAATACCTTGGATGGACTT